GTTTAAACAAAAAAGTTTAGATTATTAATTTCGTTTAAAAGTTTGAACAAAATTAGTAATCAACAAATAAAAGTTTAAACACCATGAAATTAATAAGGGTTATTATAAAAACCAACTTCGCACAAACATTGCCCACAATAACACAGTTGCAATTCTGATCGGAGCACGGTCCCTTATGACTGCACGGCTCATAATTATGTCGATTCGTCACTTTACCTTCAGTACTTGCCCATTTCGTTGCACGGAATGTTCGATGCTGATCTTTCATGTATCTTAAAAAATCATCAGATACTTACCAAACCAAAGGCTCATTAACATTAAAGTTTTGCTCGAAATTAAAGGTTCGATTAATATCTCAATTCACTGATCAGTATCAAAATTTATACTACGTATTACAAGTAAACACATAAAATTACTTCTTCTTCTTTGGCGAATTTGGTGAGAGTTCACCGCGTGGAGATAGTGGAGCGTTACGAAGTGAATAAGCATAAACCTGAATTTCAATAATAACTATATTGAACATTATTATTGGTATTATTATTATCGGCATAGTTCTAAATATTACGCAACAATAATCACTATCGCTTAAAGACAAATACTTTGCTGGTTAAAAAAACTGAAACAGATAGTACCAAAAAGAATTCTCCGTTTATAACACTTAAATCTAATAAACCAATGATAAACAATTATCCAAATAAACAAACAAAAGAACCAAAACAAAAGAATTCACCTGTGCACACGTTTTGCGCGGTGCATCCGGGTCGATACAATTCAATGAATTTGTTATTTTGCAAAAATCATTTTTGTAAATTCGTTTCAGAACAACAAACATCGACTGCTGCGAGATGGTCCATTGGTCGTTGCACGCGGCACTCGTATCATCCACTGTACCCATTTCAGTTTTGATATTCAGTTCTTTATTATTGCTCGTTGACAACTGTTTGCGTGATTGTTCATCCTTTAATGCAATTCAACACAATATTCAGAAAAAATTCATACACTCAATATCAATAATCACTTCATTCTATAATATATCTATTTTCAACCAAACACATCTAAAACAATCAACAAACCATGTTCAATCGGAAACAGTTTGCGCCACAAATCAAATTCGATGCATTCAACGAATAGCCTCTCTTGCGGTTCTTACTCATATTCCGATTACTATTCCGATGACTGTTTATCATCTCTTGATCTTCGGCACTTCCGAATCCTTCAACAATAAACCATTTCACTCCATTCAGTAATTAATCATCATAACAAAACCATACAAACAACAAAAATGACTAAAACTAACCGTGTAACATACAGTCATAATTAAAGCACCTGCAACATCTCAGCAAACGAAACGAACTGTACGCCGTTCCATCAATATAACCAGCCATCAACTTGTCTTCCACTGATGAATCCTCCGGTTCGTAACGACGTTTCAAATCATCATATCTATTTTACAATAATCATTACTATACTCAAAATAAACAAGCCCATATCAAAAAGCAAATAAACTTACAATGAAGG